ATGGTATACAATGTGCACAGTATAACGCACATTGCAGCAGATGTAGAACGTCATAGACCTCCAGGCTCCTTTTCCTCGTTTCTGTTCGAAAGTTACTTGGGGAGACTGAGGAAAATGCTGAGGAAGCCTTTGCGGCCTCTGCAGCAGATAGCTAGGCGACTGAGTGAAGCACACCTCTGCATTTTTGAGAAGGCCTCCCAAAGTCATAGGTATCTTCATAAGCATAGTCGTGGTCCATTACCTATGGGGCACCCGTTCTGGGAGCAGTACAAGTGCGTATTTGTATCGAATACGCGAGTAGATAACTCGCTTGCAAATGGCTGCATTCGTCTTAGAGATAAAATAGTTTGCGTGAAGAATATTCTTGCAACAGGGGAAAGGCATACATACGTAGTTTTCGTAGAATTAACTCACGTATCCGACTACTTCGAGTATCCGATCCGATCCGCTCATCGCAGATGCACGTCTACAAGGCCGCACTGAGAACAACTCTTAGCTGTGCACTTCTGCAAACCTCTATTACTAAACTCGCATGCTTTCCTCACGATCGCTACCTTGTATAAATAGAAATGATACACCCGTAGCGAAGAGGTTAGTTGGTCTGCCCACTAACTATCTTTTTCCTGGCGGCTGAAAGGGAAAGGGCAGTAACAGTGCTCGTTAACCCTACAAACGCACAGTCTACACAGGTGGAGGTTTGCGGCACTGAAGGGAAGCAGTGGGCATAGTAACTATATAACAATCCCAATCTAATAACATATTCCTCCTGTGCGATTGTAGACTACGTCATGGACTCCAACACGCAATCGAGAAGACCAAGACGGGCTGCCGCAGCAGCAGGTTACGATGACGATCCGGTATGGCTCTGGGATCAGATGCCACCACTGTCATCGGTAGGTTGCAACTACGCATACTTAATTTCTCCATAAGGGAACGTCCTCAAAGGCATCTGGGAAGGCGGGTTACCCATTAGCCTAGCTGTTGATTACTCGGCGCGTCCACAGGTGGCGGATAGTAGAACGACCTTCAGTGAAGGTTAGCTGTGAAATAAGCGGACTCTCGGGTCCGACGAATAAGCACTCACGGACGCAGCAGCAGTGCTACCAGGGCGCGGCAGGCTGAGGGTTGGCAAGCCAAAAGCCTATAAAATGTTGCAAAATCTGGCGAAGGCGCCGTGACATGGCGAGCGTGAACCGCCATCAATTAAGTTCGCATGCCACCACAGCCTTGTGGTTAGGCTACG